TTCCAGATTATTTTTGAAACCCTACAGTATATTCTGGATTCTTCATTGCTTTTTTTGTATAATAAAAATAATTAAAAAGTTAATAATATGATGTGCAATATCATCATAAAACTTTAGGCGAATTCGTAGTTTAAGTTTTAACATTTTTATACTTTTCTTTTGTTTCTATTATTATTCTAGTATTTTCTATTATGTCATTAGTTTATTATATTATTATTATTTCATAAAAACTCAAGTCAACAAATGACTTAAAAATTTAGCAATCGGATAACTACGCAGCAAAATTGTTTAGTTTTTAGTTAAGTTTTTTTAGAGCCGGCAAAAGGTTGTAAGTCACGAAAAAGTCTTTTTTAAAATTATCGCAGGTTTTTTTTTATGAATATTAAAGAACATACGGTCTTACCACAGAGCACCCTGGAAAAGCATTCAATTAGGAAGATTTTTCTTTTCTTACCGATATTGCTCCGAAGGCTAGAGTTGGTGCTAAACCTCGGACCTCTTGATTCTGAGCCAGAACTCTAACCGCTGCTGCTGCACTATACTTTGTCTGTTCAACCATCTATTATTTTATTAGCTGGGACACAATATGGCTATGGCATTGATAAAGTAAAACGTACGGTCATTACTCTTCAGTCAGAGGGACCAGTATTTTGGTTATTTTGATTGACATGATACTACATACTTAAGGAATTTCCAAAAAACCTAGCAGCTATGATAAAGGTAAGTTTGTTTGAGTACGATGGTACCTATAAAATGTTCCTTACTATTTGTGACACCTGTGCAGAAGTTATTAATATTTTTATTATTTGTTTTTAAATGCAAATGATTTAATAAATAATCATATTTAATTTTAGGTAAATGTCATGATGTATAGAGCAATAGGGATTTCAAGGTCTGAGCTATATGACAGACCTATTCCTTATTATGGGTGTAATACTTATATAGACTTTTATAGATGTTTATTTTGTATTAGTCAACACCATCAAATTCACTGACTAAAGTGATTTTTAAGAGATTATTAATTCTAAAAGCAAATATTACGAACAATTTTCCAAAGGTTTCCGATTGGTTGTATAGCAATCATGACAGTCTTTTAAACGCGCTAATAAAACCTAGTAATAATGCTAATCCAACATAGAAAAAAGCCAATTTTCAAAAAAACAAAAAAAAAAGTTTATAAAATATGGAATAAGATTAAAGAAAACCAAATTCATTTTTAATATCAACTCCTTATTAAAATACAAAATGTATAAGGCTAGGCTTACAGTATTAGTATTCTGCCCACAAGAGCAGAGCCTCGGTCTTCTCATGTTTGATTACTGATCAATTCAAAACAGTGGCCAAGTGTTTTAATCAAGACGAATAAACAGAGCTCAATCCTCATCATTTCTTATTAAAGGACCAGGACTAGTTTAACTCTCATATGTGTACCATACAAAATTTTACGTAAATTGTGAAATGTGAGGATCCCGGATGTTACTCTTTGACAAGGAGCTTTGATGACTGTTACTGGTGCATAAAAATTAAAGCGGTCTTTACGGAATGGCTTGATGAGGAAGAAATTAAAACGGAGGGCATTTTTTGCAATGACATCGCAAATGGAGGATGTTTTTATTTAACGGTAAAAAAGGAAAGAAATAAAATGGACGAAAAAAAAATCAAAATACCATTTAAAAAAATCAAATTATAAAACAAAATGAAGTAAAACAAGATCAAAAGATATAAACAAATAAAGATAAAAAGCAACTCAAAATAACGTACCAAATAGAAAAAAAAGATTCGTTAAAAGAAAAATAGTTCGAAAATGTAAAGTAAAAAAAAAACAAAAAAAAAAACGAAATGAATTACGTTAGTCTACCAGAAACAATAATGTTATTAAAAGAACAGAACAAAAAAAAACTTTTAAATTTTGTTTAATGAATACATTTTTTATATTATTGTGTATTTTTATTGTTTTCGTGTATTTTTTTCTTTTATTAACCTTAATTATTACATTAAAATTAATATTATTATATTACTATAATTATTATATTTATTGAGTCTTTGTAGTCTTTTATCGATAATCGTTTTTATGTCATCGTTATTAGTTACGTTTTGTCAGTTTAATACTGTTTGTATCTCTAACTATGTGTATATAATTGATTGTTGTATGGAAGATTTTATTGATTTAATTCTTTTAGTTACTGGTTTTTATAATATTTTGTTGACGTAATTAATGAACAGCCTTCTATTAAATACTTATTTAACAATTCCGTTATATATGTATTGTATTTATTATTGTCATGTTTTTATTTTAATCATTATTGGGTGTTAATTATACTTACTGGTAATATTATTATTGTTATTCTTATTATTATATAATTAATTATTTTTATTATTGTTGTTTTGTTAATTTATTATTACTATAACTATATTGTCTATAATATGTTTTATATCATCAAAGAGGTTTTTACTTTATATTAGTTTTTATAACTATTTTATTTATTTATTTATTCTTTTTAACACCCAAATTACAGGTAAAAAAACAAATTGTATAAAACTAATAGTTTATACTTTCAGTGTAAAAAATTTAAATTTTTCTTGGGATGTTTTCCTCCATCAACTTAGTAAATACCAGTCTTTGTTCTCTTATATTCCAGAATTCAAAAGAATGGTTTAAAATTGTCGCTATATTTTCTGCTACGTCATCGTAGCAACGTTTTACCGTAATTTTTTTTCCTCTATCAAACACTGCACGAAGTTTAGCTCAAGTTGATTGCAAATTTTTATTACTTCGTTGATAAATAGGTTATCTTTAGTAACATCAGATATCTGAGCCAAAATCAGGGAAAAACAAGTTGGATTGTTCAGTAGTCTGATAAACAAATTTAATTTGTTTCGAATGATGATGGTAGATATGTCATCAAGTTTAAAGAAGGGATGCAAGTAGTTTTTGCTGTACTTCGATATACTAAATAGAAATTTTAATGCTGACCTTCCAACAGCGTCTAGTTTATTAATAAGTGAATTATTATAACAACAAATTTCTAACCCGTATGATGAATTCGGTACAGCCAGTGATTTGAACAAGTGTACAATGGTTGACAAATACCCGATTTTATAAGAGCTCTGGATATTGATTAAAACTGAATAATACGTTCGTTTACATTTAATGTTTGAAGTGTTGCTATATTTTTTGTATTATTTTGATTATCCCATAGAAATCCGAGGTGTTTCAGTTTATTCTTGAGGTGTATAGAAACGCCGTTTATTTGAATTGAATTTTTTGTAATTGAGCTTTTACCGGATATAATAAACTCGGTTTTTTAGTTTTATATATAGGTTTTGGCATTGTGACTGAACTTTATTAACCAATTCTTGTAAACCAGAAAGAGTAGGACTTAGTAGGATTATATTGTCTGCATAAGCTATAATACCTGTGTACACCCCACTTATCGTTGTTCCAACTTTGCAATCTGAAACAATTTGATTTAATATACTTTGAGTGCATAAATTATATAAATGTGGTGATAAAATGAATCCTTGTCGCACGCCTAGAGACAAATGGAAACGATTTGATTTATGCCTAAGGTATGATATTCTAGCAGTACCCGATAGGTATAGTGATTGTAGTACGGGAAACTGATTGCGATAATTTTTTTGTTGTAATGTAAGTTTTTCAAACAACAATTCCCAGTTACAGCTATCGAAAGCCTTTATTGCATCTAAACTACAAATATATATTAATGAATTATTGTTATTGTAATGTTTTATTGTTTCACTTAAAAGAAACTCTGCATGAGGAGTAGAGCTATTATGTATGAAGCCAAATTGGTGAGTGGCCATCTGATATTTCCGGACATTTTTCCATAATAATATACTTTGTCAGAATTGGCACGATACTAATTCCGCGATAGTTATCGGGATTCCGCAATAGTTATCGGGGACATTTTTTATAGGATTTAACTATTGGAACAATTATAGATGTTGATAGGTACTCCGGTACCGCTCCATTATGAAAATATTGAATTATGCAAATATTGCTTGGGCAAGCACTGAAAAAAAAAAAAGTTACATTCTCTCTATCGCCGTCAGAAACATGCAATACGTGTAATTAATTTTGCTGATCTTTTTTCTGAAAGGAGAACACTTAATATTTACGAACTTAATATTTTTAATATTTTATACTTTGTATATATATGTAAAAACAATCTTTCTCCTGCCGTTTTTAATGATTTAACTACTTTGAATCCTACCAATAAATACTCTTTAAGAAATAGCAACCTTCTATATGAGCCTTTTTGTCGAACAAGTTTTAACCTATTTTGCATTGATTATCGTGCACCCCATTTTTGGAACAAAATTGTTTTGCCTAATTTTAATTTTGATCTACCTACTTCTTTGCATCTTTTTAAAGTTAAGCTGAAAAATCTTTTTCTCTTCCGTATTATCAAAATTTGACAATAATATTTATATTAAGGAAATATTTATTAAACTTTATTATATATACTACAAAGTGATATACGTATATATATTTTATTTTTATTTTGTTGTACTTATAGTTACTTTATAATATAGTATTTTGTTTACACTAGTATAAGGTTCTGACGATAAGATCTTACTGATCTTCTTTCAGATACCTAGTTTTTCAAATCTGATAAAAAAAATTTCAAATACGATAAAAAAAAAGCTAGAAAGTGTTTAAAAACATTTAAATTTAATAAATTATATTAGACTATAAATATTTCATCTATTATATCAGATTTTATATATTGTATAAAAAGTAAATATTATTCAAATAAAGCTACCTTATTTCGATAAACAATGGATGCATTATCAGCTGCCTCTGCATGCACTGCACACTATTCATACAAAAAAGAAAAATATGTTGCCCCTGCATCTCAATAATTAAAGATTACAGCAAAATATTAAAATAAATAAAACGCGGAAGCTTAAAGCTGCCACCCGCAAACGGATAGAAGCCTATGGCCGGAAACGGCTGATAGAAAAATTAAAACTTGTTAACTTACTATCTAATTTTGAATTTTTTCGTATAAATAAAATTTTCATCAGAACTAGGCTGATATGTCTTAAATACTGTGTATGAATATAACACAGGCTTTCAAAAATATTTCTTGTTCCGCTTCTTGGAGTGATTAAAAACAGTGACAATATTTCACTGCCAAGAAGTGACAACCTACAACATTTCTCTGAACAAACTTAAACATACAAGTTTTTTTCTTTTAAATAAAGCTATCTGAAAATATAAATTAAATTGTATATGAAACGATAACGACGAGAAACGTTATAAAAATGATATAAAAATCTTATATTGTTTTTTAGATAAACGAACATCATGTCGATTAACTCCCAAAATATAAATAAAAAACTCAAGATGTTTAAAAGAGCAAATAAAAAATAAAAAATTAAAAACCAACTATATAAAAATGCGTCAACAATTTAAAAAAAAATTAGCAAAATTCAAATATCGCTCGCTAAAGATAAGCAATAAACTCAGATTGTTTATTATTTGACGGTTGATTGTAAGGTGAAGTTGATTGAACACGTGATCTAGTCACGTTGTTTAAATGTTGAACAACACCTTGATTTATTTGGTTTCGTGAACCTTTTTTATCGGTAATTTCATTTTGTTGAAAACCGCTGTAAAGTTTAGGCGATGGAGTCGAAGGACTTTGAGAGGATGAAGAAGTATTGGAATTTGTAAAAGCTTGGTTAGGTAGAACGCTTGTACTTCGCGATGTGTTGTAACGATGTTCCGGCGTCACATTTAAAGTTATTGGGCGTTGAGGTTTGTTATCTTCAGATATTCGTCTAACTGGAGAGACAGATTTAGATTGATACCTTGAGTCATATTCAATTAAATTATCAACAGAGCTATGTCTTGGTCGTGATGATGTAGTATTACCTGAAAATCGCTTTAGTCTATTTAGAGGATCATCATCCACTCGAATAGTATTTTGAGAAGAATAAGATTGTTCTAAGTAACTAGGTGAGTCATAAATTGGTGGCATCTTAGATAGATTAGTCGTCAAATCAAACAAACTTTGTTTACTAGGAGAAATTTCTTCTTCCCGCACACGACGGTAAGTACCATAAATATCAACTAAGTTTGAACCACGCAATGTGCCGTTAATACGTTTTTGGTATGAAGGAGTGACTGGTTCTTTATTAACGACACTTTCTTTTTTATTTAAAACAAAATCAGAGTTTTTAACAAAAATTTGTTGAAGGTCAATGCCGCAAAGAGCAGCTGCTAAAATACCAGCCTGACATATCGCAAGGTATCTAACTGTTGGAGAGCGATCAGGAGAATGAGGACTAATTTCTGAAAGGAAACGATCAGATGGCAAGCTGTCACCTGCAAATGAAATAGAACAATAGAAAATAAAATTTATATAGTCATTAAAAAATCTATATTGTATTTTTTATAAATATCGTGCAGAAGTTTATTATAAAATTATCTAAAACATAACTTAATTAAATGCTTTGAGTACTAGTGATTTATACTAGTAAAAAGATGTTTAGATTTCAACTTCTTATAACTTTTTTAGTATTCTTTTACTTTTTTTTTTTTTTTTTTGAATAAGGATTTTAGGATGAAGCCTGAACTTGACCAGAATTAAAAAATTTAAAAAAAAACTTTTTTTTTTAGAATGAAGCAATTTTTATTAGGAAAACTATTTTTTACTGAAAATCTTTTTATCTGAAAATGATTTCAGCTTTAGTCTCTTTGAAAATTATTATTTTTTAAACACACATAATAATATAATTATTTGTCAAGGTTCATGTTTTGGAGTTATAGAGTTGAGAGAGAGTTGTAACAAAAACTAAAGTAACCTCCCCACTGTAGTGGCCTTCATGGTATTGCAGAGGTGAATTGAAATAAAAAAAAATAAAAAAATAAGACAACTACATTTTAATTTTAATGCCATATTACATACATTTATTTCTATGTATGTATGCATGTATGTATGTATGTACATATGTATGTGAGGTTTGCTTTTATTTTTTTATTATTTGATTTAGATTAGTACTTCAAGTCATATTCAAATTATAAACAGAGCTATTAGTTAAATTTGAAAAAAAAATTTCAAAAAATAGTTTCACATTTGCCAATGTTCAATAAGTTTTTTTATGCCATTTGAATGGAAGTCTGGTCTTCTGGACTTTTAAAGTCAATTTTTAAGTCTTTTTCAGAATTGAATTATTTGTTTGCAACAAATGGAACATAGTGTTTGAAAAAGTGACCACAGTCAGGTCAGGAGAGTATAGTAGGTATAGCATAACAACTTTGTTGATTTTTATCTGGAATTATATGGGATTATGTAATCAAGCATTATTATGAACCAGGATAAAATTTTTACATTTGAAAATTGCAAGCTAAAGAATTAGCAGTTTTTTTATGAAAAGTGTTAAACTCTTGACAGCAGCTGTCTCCAGTAATTATATGTTGAAGAAATTATGAATAATACTGAAACGACCAAACTGTAATGGTAATCTTTTTTTGTAACTGGGTTTGGTATATGCTTAGGTGCTTATTTTATGTCGAACCATTTACCAGTTTGACAACAATTACTATACACATCACAGGTTATTATTTATTCTAAAAACAATTTTATTTGGTTTTGCTGAAGCAAAGAAGTCAACAAAACTTTTGCTTTTTGTTTAATTCATAAGTTACCGAGCTATTTAACTTATCCTATTTTGTTTAATTCATAAGTTACGAGCTATTTAACTTATTCTATTTTGTTTAATTCATAAGTTACCGAGCTATTTAACTTATCCTATTTTGTTTAATTCATAAGTTATGAGCTATTTAACTTATCCTATTTTGTTTAATTCATAAGTTACCGAGCTATTTAACTTATCCTATTTTGTTTAATTCATAAGTTACCGAGCTATTTAACTTATCCTATTTTGTTTAATTCATAAGTTACCGAGCTATTTAACTTATCCTATTTTGTTTAATTCATAAGTTACCGAGCTATTTAACTTACCGAGCTATTTTACTTTTCCTATTATTTTCAAATGCTCAAAAATAATTGATACTGATCCACTGTGAAGCACTGAAAATTCTTTTCTTTTTTATTTACAATTTTTTAAAAAAAAATTCCATTCAACAAGTGCTACAAAGACATCTTTTTTAAGACAAGTAGAAAATCACAACCACCTTTAGTCAGTAATTTATTGATTTTTCAACTTCTGCTTTAGACATACCACACTCATACTCAACTCCCTTTAGTCAGTAAAGTAAAAATCTCTGAAACCAAATTTATAAAACTCACCTTGAGCTGTGAAGAAGTTTTATAGCTCCAAGATGATTGATTAATATTACAAGCGATTTGCACAATTTCATGATATTCCATTGCAAAGTTAAAATTAATTATATTTTACGTATATACACTTACACACACATATATAATAACTCTTAACATATCTACTTAAATTTCTTGTTTAGGTGAGATGTTTGAAATCATGCTGAAATAGCCTTCTTTCAAGAGATTTTGTACATACATTAACTGACAATTAGGTAGAATATGCAAGGGAGTGCTGCTATATTGATTATGGGTTTTGACTTTTTTTTTCTGAAAAAGCCATATGGAATAAAGTGATCAAAAAAAGTGAGCAATTGCTGATTTCTATATCCTATAGTAGATATAAATATCAGAGCTGCATACTCATGGTTGCTTTAGCATACCAGGCGATCAAATTTTATTCAAGAGTTCTATAAGAATATAACTTTGGACTTTTTTAATTTGTTTATTTTTTAACGTTTTTGCTCCAAAGTTAAATTCTTTCTTAAATTCTTTAAAACTACAATTCAGATAAATATTTTTTTCATAAATCACCCAAGTTTTAAAAATCCGGAAAATTGTTTTTGGGTAAAAATTGGGTAAAATATCCAAGAAAAAATTGGAATATATTTTCCCTTATTATCCTCTTAATTTTGCTTTTAGCTGAGTTGTTTCAAAATTTTTTTCAAATTTTTTATAATTTTTGTGTTAGCGATGAGTGAAAAAGCATAAAAAACAAATATATTACAAAAATATACACCTAAACTTTTATGTATGGAAAACGTTTTGGATATCGAAAAAAATTAATAATTAAGAAAAATATCTGGAACTCTAGAAATATCCAGAAAAAGATAATCCCTGTTTTTTGATAATCACTTTAAAACAGTCTAAAAACAGTAACAAAAGTTTTTTATAATAAAGATTATTTTAAAAAAATTTTGATTTAATGAACAATGACTTTTTATTTTTTCATTCTTTAACTAACTTTGTATTAAAATCATGAATTTTATTTGTGAAACACTTTTAAAATCAATGCTAATGATTTTTTATACATATTGATGAATACATAGTTGTTTTTACATATATATATATATATATATATATATATATATATATATATATATATATATATATATATATATATATATATATATATATATATATATCTATATATATATATATATATATATATATATATATATATATATATATATATATATATATATATATATATATATATATATATATATATATATATATATATATATAATTATGTATTTTTTATGATAAATGTTAATCTAAAAAAAATGAAAAACCAAAAAAATAATAACGTGAGTTAAAATATATGAAGAAGGGAGGAGAGGGGATAAAAGGGTGGATCAGAATTTCTAAAAGAACACAAATAAAACTTAATAACAAAACAACTTAATTAAATAGTGTGGATTGCAATCAAATGCAGTTTTACATTGTTTAATATGGTTATATAAATTTTATGCTATAGTGAGAAATAAATGAAAACCTGATTTTTTTGACAAATTGAGATTTAAGAGATTTTTTAGACATAATTTTTAAAGGATAAATACACTGAAAGTTTCTTGTCAGTGACTAATATATATATATATATACATATATATATACATATATATATATATATATATATATATATATATATATATATATATATATATATATATATTTTCTGATAAGTTAAAATTATTAAATGGGGGAGGAGGGAGGGGAGAGAGAGGGAGGAGGGACTTAATAACCTTGGGATGAATGGGAAAAAACGCCCCTCCTGTGTATTAAGAACCTAATAGTAGGTTGTTGCTTTACTTAAAAGGATTCCCCATAATATTATAAAAATAAGATAAAAAAACCTTTTTTATTTTATCTCAGTGTTTTATTTTAAGTTATATTTTTGTTTTTTGAGTTTTTGTTTTAACAATGTTCTTTTTATTTTCTCCTCAATACAATAATCAATAATATTTAGATTTATTTTCTTTTTTTAAATAATTTATTCATTTATTTTAAATTTAGGGTAGAGTTGCCCTACTGGCGACTGACTAATAGTTCGAGTGTATACCCAAGTGTATATGTGGATATTAAATTTATATATATCTTTATTAAACTTTTTAATTATTACTTACAAAGTTCACGAGGGGTATCAGATGGATCATTTTTAACCAGTGCGATTCCAAGATTAGGAAAGGAAGAAGATCTACCGTGAGTTTGAACTGTGTGATCCTCAGAATACATTCTTAATCGAGCTTTCTCTTTTCTTCGTTTCTCTTTTTCTTTTTGATAAATAGAACTTGGTCCCCATGTGCGACCCTTTTTTGTGTTTTCTTTTTGCTTCAAATCTTTTTCAACTTTTTATATATATATAAAATTTTCAATAAATTCCACAAAAACAATATAGATATAAAAGTTAATTTTAAATAATAGTTAATTTTAAATAAAACATATGATTAAAATAAAACCTTACGAGAAAGAAGCCTGAGTCGCTGAGGACCTGGAGATCTTGGAGGATTTAGAGATTCATTTGGACCATCACCGTCAGTTGGAGTTGTTGTTACAGTATAGCGATGTTTAAATCCTTAAATTAGAACAAAAAACAATTAAAATTAATATGGATAATTTGTACATCTTTTGGAAAATTAGTGATAAAAAAAAAGACTTAAAAATATTATTATAAACAATATAAATGTAAAAAATATTATTTAGTAGTTAAAAAACGCAACATTTAATGTATAACAGAAACATACAACATAATAAATTCAATTAAATACATACAATAATATGTTAATATATAACAATCCTCATAATAACTTAGTTAAAAGCATGTAATGTTTTATATCTGAAGAACTGACCTGAAGGAGCACTAATGCTAGTTTTACCAGATGTTAAAAAAATATTTCGAAGTTTTATCTTTTTTTTCACGCGCTTTGTTGGAACTGGCATGATATTGTTTTGTGTCTAAAAATACAACATACTGAAATAAATTTAATTCAAATTTATGTTACCTTTAAAGTTATAAAAAACTCCTTACTTATCTATTCAAAAAAATAATAAAAAATTAGTACTCAGAAAAAGACACTAAAGGCAAATACATTAAAAAAAAATGTTTAATGAATCCTGGATTACATAGGGAAGAAAATAAAGAACTTTTAAATTAAAGAAATCTAATATATTTAAATTTAAAATTAAGAATATAGAATTTTGGAACTTTAACACTTAGAGCCAGTTAAGGAGCAGATTAGTACTTGATTAGAATTTTGGAACTGCAACACTTAGAGCCAGTTAAGGACCAGATTAGAACTTGATTAGAATTTTGGAACTGCAACACTTAGAGCCAGTTAAGGACCAGATTAGAACTTGATTAGAATTTTTGAACTGCAACCTTAGAGCTAGTTAAGGACCAGATTAGAACTTGATTAGAATTTTGGAACTGCAACACTTAGAGCCAGTTAAGTAACAGATTAGAACTTGATTAGAATAGATTATGATAAATGCTTTAAATCTGAATAAATTTTATTTATTCAATAATTTAATAAAGATCAACCTTACCCATTAACTGTTCTTACAGCTGTATAGAGAAAAAAAAACTAGCTTTATTAATTATATCTTTTATACATCACACTGCAGGCTAGATAGACCACAATGCATGCAAGCTAGAACAAGAACTCTTGCTCTAGCCTTTATATTGCTTTATCATAGACGTTACTTAAGTAGAAAATTTTTTAATAATAAACTCAACTATTTAAGATTAATAATAACAAAATATTTTTCATTGTACGGGGTTATCCTAAAATTTAAATTCATACGCAACAATTAATTACAGAATATACATATTTAATTATTTTTTAAAATTGAAAAATGAATATTTCAGATATTTCTACTGAAAATTATTGAAATGACTTTTCTATAACACAAAATGTTTTCAAATTAAATAGTTCAAAACCCTAACTATACTTAAACTAATATCAATAGAAGCAGACAAAAGAAGAGTAGTTAAACCATTTTGATACATTGAGAGGATTACTTAGTAGTGAGCGTCAAAATAGAAAATTTTTGTATTGCTTTAAAATTAATTTAAACAAAATAGTAATTGTTAAAAACATTAATTTTTGTAATTTTTGTAAAGCAAAGGTTTTTAATAATGATGGTTTTTAATAATAACAATGGTTTTTAATAGTAATGATTATTAATAATAAAGATATTTAATAAGTTTTTTAATAGGTTTTTTATAATAATAACTTTAATTTAATAACTTTTAATATAATAGTTTTTCAGATATACTTAATAGCTATGATTGGTATTTTAATTCAAAAACTTAAATTCAAATGGTTCATACAACAAATTTTGCAGAACTATTTGCAAAGAAGTCATATCTCAATCAAAAATCTTCTAAGGCTTGTAGAACAGACAACATTCCTGTCATAGTCTTACAAAACTTCCAGAACTCTCTTTGATTCTCCCTTAACTATTTGATAAATGGTTTGCTGAGTCTTGTTTTCCTACGTTCTGGAAACATCTGTTGTTCCAGTTTTCAAAAACTCTAGAGAATATTCTGACCCCTCTAATTATTGCCTGATCGGTATTCTTTCTATTATTAGCAAGGTCTTTTAATCATCGATCAACAAATTTTTCACAACCCATCTTGAGTCAAATAACTTACTGTCAGACAATCAATACGGTTTTTGATCCTCTTGCTCTACAGGTGAATTGCTAACTGTTGTGACTGAAAGATTTTATTGTACATTAAAATGGAGGCGGTGAGGCTAGGGCTATTGCTCTTGACATATCTAAAGCTTTTGATAAAGTCTGGCATGCTGGTCTTCTCTGCAAGTTAGCTTCATATGGTGTATCTGGGAAAGTTTTTGAGATTATCAAGTCGTTTCTTTCTAACTGCTTTTAAGTCATCCTTAAAGGCCAACTTAAACAAAACTCAGTTATTTAAAGGCCAACTCATACAAAACTCAGTTATTTACTGCAAACAATTATCACAATACTGTTGACATTCCTACATTAATGAATTGCAACCCTCTCATTGAGTCCTCTTCTTTATGTCTTCTTGGATTATCAGTTATTACTAACATTTCATGGAAACCAAATATACAATTAATTGCTAAATTAGCATCTGGTAAGTTGCTTCTCTTTATCGTGCTCAACATTTTCTTACTGCTGATTCCATTCTTTACCTCTATAAACCTCTTATTTGTTTATATATGGAATACTGCTGTCATATTTGGGCTAGTTCTTTTAATGATGTTCTTTTCTCTTCGTCTCTTTAGTCAAGGTCCAAAAACGCATTAAAAACAAACTTGGACCCACTCTATTTGCTCATCTTGAGCGTCTTTCCTATCATGGTAAAATTGTATCTCTTTCTCTTTTTTACAAATACTATCATGGTCGCTGCTCAAAGGATTTTATTTATGATTTCTATTATCTCTAGTAAACTCGCTTGACTCGTCATTCAGCAAAGTCTCATTCTTTTCCTGTATCTGTCTCTGCATGCTTTAAAAACTTTTACTTGTCTAGTTTTTTTTCCCTGCACTTCAACCCTTTGGAACTCTCTTCCATCTTCATGTTTTCCTGACTCATACAACCTCCAACTTTTCAAGTCTTCAGTCAATTGTTTCCTTGCTCTATAACTCTATTCTTTTTTTTTTTCTAGTAACTCCTGACTTAATAGTGATTGCTTGCAGCCTTGTTGGGAGTGAAGCAAAAAATATTTATAAAAAATACTTTTCCCAAATTTTTATAATAAAGAACATAAATCTTTCATTCTGATAATTACAAAAGAAAATGTTAAGACTAGAGATGAATGAAAACTTAAAAAAGTTAATAAAGAGGATAAGAACTTTTCAGAAAATATGAAATAGCCTGCTGCCTTCAGTGCATACATTAACTGACAAATAGCCTGACTTACAGCGGAGTGCTGCTGCATTGACTGAGGGTTTGGCATGGGGCAGCAATCTTTTCATTCATTATTCATCATTTTTTTCTTCCTCGCAAAAAAAGTGAGCGAATGCTTATATAAATACGCTGTAGTTTATAAACAAGAATTAACTTATTTAGTTTAATTGTTATCATTTGCTGATAAGAATCAACTATTCTTTAAAAATAGTAAAAAATTATACACAATGACCCAACATCTTCACCAAACAGAATTTCAATAAACCTGAAATCACTACATCCAAATATATTTTTGGTGTAGATAAAGTTCATTCCTGTACCTTATAAAATTGTGCAAGTGCATTTTCACTTTCTTTGTCACTTATTTTTGTTAAACCATATAATATTGAAATTTTATCATTAATTTTGCTAAACGCAAATAAAAAATGGAAATAAAATAAATTGGACAAGTTATAAGTAATGAAACATATTCTAAAAAGCTACTTGCATTTAGAAAAAAATCTTTTGAATATGTAACAGCTTGGAATTACTAGTAGTACAGGTAATGAGCAAGGCCCGCTGTATGGAGAAACAAGTTGAGTGCAGTACTACTAGCAATGTGATGGGGATCAAACTCAGAACTTCTTGCTTATGAAGTAAATGTTGAAAAGATGTGTCAAAATCTTTAGATTCTATGCCTTATAACAGATTGTGCCTGTAACTAAAAAGATATGATATTAAAACAATGCAATTCAATGGTGCAGAAATTTTGTATGCAACAAAGTATAATGGTTGATTGTAATAAAGAGTTTTTAAATTGGATTTCAATTACAAGTGGTGCGCTGTAAGGTTTTATTTTGGGTTAATTTATGTTTAATTGTTTATATAAAAGATGCTGATGACATTAATCTTATTATATTGTTAATGATAATCAGATTGGCTTCTGATGTAATAGATCTAAATAAATTAATTTCATGGTTTAAATTATGGCTTTTAAAATTAAATATAAACTAATGTAAACGCATGCATATAGAAGGCAAAAAATACTAAGTTTATCTACATAATGCATGATCCTGTATTAAACTGATAGAAGCAAAAGTTAAAAAAGATTTATGATTTGAGATGATCTAATTAGTTTAATTTTGTGTCTGAAAAAGGAAAGAAAATGTTCGGTATAATAAAACATTTTAAAATGTTTACTATCTTGTAAGACTGTATCTGAACTACGCAACTTCAAAACTATGGTAATTACATAATAAGAAATATAGAAATGAATAAGAAATATAGCATGATTCGAACCATGTAAAGGAGAAAGAAACTAAGCATAAGCTAGGATCAAAGACTAAAGAAAATTGAGATCAATGTTCAGTGAGATCATAGCATGATCTAAATCACCTAAAAGGAAAAAAGGAGAAATTTAGTGCAAGCTAGAGTTAGAGACAGGACACAGATCAAGAAGTAATGTTAACTGATTAGGGTTGTCTGGAAAACAAAATTAACTTTCTGAGTAAGAGATTTAAAAAGTCAAAAACTTTAGGCTTAGATATGGCGATCAGTTACTGACGTTTAACACTGGAATCTTTTGGCAAAGAATAGAGAAGACTGGGGAGAAGTCATTTTGAAGGCAGAGATTCTAAAAATTACTTTAAGGAAAACACAAAACATGTCATTAAAAAACACAAACAACTTTCAGTTTTATAATGTCATCAAAAAAGTTTCTGGTTTTAAGTCAACAAACTGACTTGGAACAACATTAAATGTTGTTACCAGAACTTTTCCCACCAGATTTGGATGTCCTGTGATGCGCTGCAAATGAACAAAATCTCAAGTCTGTAGTGGTCCTTTATTGAAAAGAATAGGCTCTTGAAGACAAACTTTTTTATTTTTGTCTTCAAGAGTTTTTTTGTTTTTTTATTTTTATGTGAAACATTAACTTAAAAAAATAAAAAATTTGTTGCATGGAATAACTAGAATTGGGTTGCCTCCTAATCTCTAATGCCAACTTAGGTGAACTGTTTCATGAAATAATGCTATCTTGACAGCAACAACTGGCGTTGAAACTCTTTCAGCTTCCACCA